GCGAGGCGGCCGACGCGCGGCTGCCCGCCGCCCGCCCCGCCGGCCCGCCGCTGCCCTGGTGGACGCACGCCCACGACGCGCGCCCCCAGCGGCCCGTCCGCGCAGGTAGCGCATGCACACACGAACCTTTTCTAGGCAAAACGGTTTGGGCTAATATGCCAGTGCAGATTATGTACTATGACACAGGCTTAACTCAACTCGTGGTACGATACTATTTTATTCCATAATGTCTATACGAAAAAATGCTTTGTTTGAAAGTTTCGGGACAAGTTCAAATTGATAGTTACTGAAACGTTTTGGGAGGCGAAAGTTTCCTCATTTCCTACCCCGTGGATCCGCGCCTGCGGGAAGTGTTTCTGTTTGTATACGGTTCCCGTTAAGACGTCAGGGCTTCTCATCCTTCACAACCGAGTAATTATATAAAAAATAAACTGATAAAACGCAAAGCACGGAACCGCAGAACGTTGTAGACCACAGCTCGCCCACTTACCGCACAGGAGCAGGACGCACGCATCTGACATTCAAGATTCTGTTTTACATAATACTTATCACACAAAAAGTAAATTCAATGTAATGTTTAAAAAAATTTAACAGAAAAGCACAGTAGCACTGCGCTTCCTAATTTCAATTATTTCTCATGGAGAACTATATTTTCGTCGGACGAGGATATCACAGTACGATGCGTCGAAGCCATTTACAAGTTAGCCAACTGCAAACGAACGAATGAAGGAACGGGAGTCAAAAGGGCTGAACAACGACCACAGAACCTTCAGTTATGTTGCCAGCTCTAGTGTGACGTCATGGATACTCACAGCGACCACAGACACAGAGCTTTCGTATAACAAATATATTTATTAACAAGAAAACAAAACAAATATATACACTTAATAATCACTTTAAACCCTAGCTCTGATAGACCTACTATCCCCTGATCGCGGGAGCGATCCAAAACCCAATTGAAGATGGTTTTGATTGTGGCATTCGCCACTCCTACTTTTGAAGCGCGCACAAAGCCTAGCTTCCGTGACCGGATGTCACGCTGGGACACAAAGTCCGTTCTGGCGCACCAACGGCTGGTTTGCCTCGATCGCAGGAGCGATCTTATCCGATTGAGAATCGGCGTGAATCGTGGCACTCAACCACTCTTCACCTCGGAGCACGCACACAGCATCGCTCTCCCGTGACCGCAGTCACCCAAGGACATAAAGTCCGCAGGCTTCGTCAACTAATGACTCCAGCCTCGCGAGCCTGGCTCGCATATGCACCGTCTTGGCGCCAAGTTTTGTGCACACGCACGAGGTTCTCCCACCGTCTCCAGAACCTGCCTACTGGCTCCGTACACGCTGTTATATAGGCGAGGCCCACGTGACCTCCTACGTCACGCCACCCCCTCGCTTGTTATAACAGTGAAAAGCTTCTATAAGCCGGAAGACACCCAAAGCCTTGTGTCTCCCGTCTCCGCGTTCTTCCCTTTACGGAAAAACCCTACTTCCTGTGGCTAGTCTAATCCTCTCCCAAGCGTCCCCAAATAGATGCCATGAGGCACGCTGGCTAATACGTTACACTAGTTACTTATTAAGAACCCCGTACCTCTACCCCGAACACCGTACCGTTGCCGTATCCCGTAGCTCTCATCATTCATAAGATGTATTCACACTCGCCAGCCCATCAAGATTCATCCCTTCCAGATATGACCATAAGGCTTCGGCGTCTACAATACGTTGAATATGCGTTCATGATTATTACTTTAATGTACACTTCATTAAAGTAATGTAGAAATTTCTGATTGTGTACATTAATTTAACATCTGTCTGCACTGACATTAATTTAAGCATAAAATTCAATGTTCTAGTGCATTAAGAACTTTTTAACGCACAAGGTACATTGAGTTTAATGTACGTTAAAACATTAATCTACATTAAATTTAATGGCATTTCTCTTAGTGTAGTGCATGCTAAGGTGCAGGCAGTCTGTAATGTGGGATACTTCGTGCTGTCCATGCGGCGATAACGAATCGTTACCATGAAGCGCAACCCCTGCCCGCAGGCACCGACCTCGACGGCGGGCCTCTGTACGTGGGGCGCGCCTGGCACCAGAGCCAGCTGCTGCCCGCCAAGGTCGCCCCGAAGCACCAGGGGGCCTTCGTCGCCTGGAACGGCCGCGAGCACAGCAAATTCTTCATGCAGTTCGAGGTACGTCTGGGGACGCCGCCTTTCTAAAAGGCTCCCACAGATGGCGCGGGTGACCTGCGGGACCGTCCACACCGGAGCGTCAATTATGACTCAGCGTTTGATGACGGTTTTTCTCAGCCGATATACAAAACCACGGGGGGCTCAACCCAGAGGGGAGCGAAGACACCCTACGCAGGCGGACTTCCACGAAACTCGAGCGGCAGCGGTCGAAACGCGTCCGACTGCGTTACAAAATCCGCCGTGGATTAAACGCCACCAATCTGCTGCCACGCAGGTCTGAACATGTTCCTAATGTGCATCACGTGACGCGAAAGTTCCTTGGCCATTCCGACTGTGGCAGGAATTCGACATTAGTTAGACAGTGAAGTCCTATTTAGCTGCTGCCTGGGGGAGTTCTAGCGGCTGGCTGCTCTGATTGATAGCATTCCGTGGTTTCTCTGATCAACACCACGCGAAGGCCGAAGCAGCACCCTAACAAACGGGCCATGTGCGATCTCTCCTCCTCCGTGATGGAAAATCCTCACCCCTTACACACACTTAGCTTGCACTGCACATGTCCAGAGACTAGATGGAGCTCGGAGCTGGGCAGGGGAAGATCTCTGCTGCCTCCCACGATAAGACGTTTCAAAAACAATACGGGGCTCTTGACCTGGGTAGTTGACGCGCCAGATGTAAGTAATCTAGCAGTTGCTCGGTTAACCATTGGTTTAAATGAGTTGCATCTGAGCTGAGGTTTGGCTGTGCTGATGGTTGCAGATTCCTCTCAGTGTATGCTGTGTGCTGTGGGTGGCAGGTGCTGCATCTGCTGCGCGGGCGGGCCGAGTGGATCGAGGCGAGCGACGGGGACATCCCAGCGCAGGCCTTCCCCATCGGCATCACCACCAGCGGCCGCCAGGCCTTCGCTGCGCGCGCCTCCGTGCAGGGCGTCGTCACGCCCGGGCGGGTGAGCTCTCCTGCGCTCGCGCTCTCGCTCTCGCTCTCGTCAGGCAGGCTACTGGGGCGTACAAGCCAAGTACAGCAGATTTGTCTAGTCCAATTGAAGGACAATGTTCCGAACACAAGCTCTTGGGCCTGCTCTTCCACGGCACCTCTTAACATTGTCAAAACACCCGATGCCCCTACTTTGCAAAGCGCCAATCGCATCTCAAAATCGTGCGCAGGAAGAACTTCAGTTCCTCCAAAGCCTGCAGGTGCCCCGGGGCGTCGATGCGCCGACATGCATTCTGCAGCTTTAAAGGATATTAAATATAAATTCCTATTTTATACTCCGTTTAGAAATGGAAATTCTTAAAAGGCAAATTGCTAATTACACACTATGTCTTTCTGTTTCAGATCGTTGAAGGAGATAATTGTTGTTATGTTCCATATGGTCACAAAGAATGGGCATTTGAGAATTATGAAGTGCTTGCTATATTGTAAACTTGTGCTCGCATGAGCAATAAATTGTTGAATATGTGTGTATAAAATGTTTTATTATAATAAAATATTTGTATTTTTTACATTCCTTCATTTTTATTTCTTTATAATACAATCACCTACTATACCACTGATTCTATGTTCCCATATTACCAAAGGATGATGGAGATGATGAATTTCTCAGTTTATTAAAAATGTTATTTATGAATGTTTAATTTTTTGTAATACACTCATTGCCATTACCAAATATGTAGAAAATGAAATTTTGTAATAATCAAATTAATAATTTTGCTATTTCACTCTCATAATTTTTGACAGATATTGCAGTTAATTATGAATTTTAGAAACTTCTGAAATAATCAAGATAAAGTGCAAATTAGTGATGCTACAAATGCACATACTTTATAGCATTACTTCTAAATCTGCAATTTTCGAAATTCAGAATTCAACGAAAATTAGACCTGCGCCATTCTTTTCAGCGTGTCGTGTTTTATCTATGGTGAAAAAATCGAAAAAAAAGTTTTTGATTAGTTTTGAAAAATGTTTTTGTTGTAAATTGCATTGAAATCACGCAGGAATTCCGCAAAAACTACTAGTTTTTTTAAAAAAAATTGTGCACCTATTTGAAAGAGCTTTTTTTTAGAACGATTGTGTTTAAGGGAATAATCTTTAATAAATAAAATGTGGATTTAGAGTTATTTAAGATATTCGAATGAGAAAGTGAATGGATTTTATTAGTTTATAATTTTTTGTAAAAACTATACTTGTGTAAGTTCCTGGCTCATTAGCTTCTATGAGGTCTCGCAAGAGATGCCCATTCCTCTAGGAGAGGCAATCACTATTGAAATGTGGAGGTCAGTGGTTGAACTTTATTTTTTCTAATGTTTGTATCACATGAAAAAACGCTAATACAAAAAGAACTACAGGAAATTTCATATAAATCATAAAGTAAAGGTTTCTGCAAAATTTTGAAGCCAACATTACGTTTGAGAGGTCACTATGAGCTTCATTTTTTTGGAATAAAAAGTGTTCCTAATTTACTTTGATATCTTGATTGCCTCTACTAATTTATTCTTCGAATATAGTATGTACGCTCGCAGTAAGTCTTGGAAGATGCCACTGGTGTTTCAATTTGAATGAATTTGTTCTCAATATGAAAAGTATTAGCGAAATGACCCGAGTTTGCAATTGGTTCGACGTCCGTATAATGCTGATCGTTTTGTTTCTAACAGCAAGCTTTTTGCGCTTTACACAATGTTTCTTCTTCATAATGTTACTGTTAGAACTGTTATAACTTCACAGACTACGCTGCCCTCGGAAGCCGGTCTGGATTACACCGGGCCGGCCGGCTCTTGTGTTGCCCAGCCAGCACTGGCGCGCGCCCCCACTCCTTCCATTTCCCCTTCCACTCTACTGTATGCGGTGACGTCATCGTGACGTCACTGCCGCGGCCTGCCGGCCGAACGGCGCCGCCAGAGCACGTGACAAGGCCAGAGTTGGCCCGGGCCAGCGTCGTCAGACGGTTCTTGGGGTGCGGTCAGCTAGTGTTGTGGCTGTGTGGCGTATTTTGTTTGCTACCAGAATGGCGGTACGGTATGCCGGAAAACCACTGCCTATTGACGAGATATCCCAGTTTCAACCCAGCGCTCTAGGGTAAGTTGCAAACCGTTGCGTGTAGTCGATCGATGGGTCGACGAACGAAGCTGCGGTCCCGGCGCGTTGTTGTCGTATTTCCGCGTGCCAGCATGTTGCGTAATGGCTCGCAACCTGAGTTAATTCGGTTTTCTCAACTAAATTTATCGCATTATGCGCTTATGCTTGCATTCGTTTCCAGAGTAGTGGTTGAAGTACAATCGCTCAATGGGCTGTCACGTTATTGTGTATCTTGACGTCTGTCATGGACCGGATTACATACACGTACAACAAAGAATTCGGATGTGAATACTTTTGTAGTTTCTCTGATTGTAAAAGATGCCAACAAATGCCTGTTTCTCCAGGTCTGAGAAAAACATCGTAGTTATTGAATAGCATTATGTTTGTATAGTTTTGAGAGAGCTTTTGTAACTGCTAATTTTTAGTTATCTAGACGTGGATTAATTGTTGGAAAAATTAATAACTCATGGAGTAAGTATACTTAACCCACGTCATTTTGTAGAAACAATGTTTTTAAAAATTTTATTTACTGCATATTTTATTTTATTACAATTTTTCAAGGGCTTTAAAAATATTTAACATAACTTTTAGGCAAGGTGCCAGCGATTTGTTGTTAGGTAAATTAGTTACCTATTTTTAAAATTGTTATTTGACGAATACATAGTTTAAAAAGCGATAATGGACAATACTAGAAGGTATTAATTATAAATATTTGTAATAGAAAGGTTGTGTTTGAAATTTGAAGAAGATTAGGGAGGATAAAAATTATCTTTGAGAAATCTTGAGCGAATTCGGAGTTTCATAGTGTTGACCGGGTAAATCAGATTTTTTGAGGCAGGAGCAGAAGGTTAAGAGCCTAAGTTATAAAACTTAATGGCCTGTGTCATTATGTTGTAATAGGTTCTCTTTGTAAATTCTTGGAGAATTTGCTTATTTGATACAAACCATTCGGATTGTAATAGCTTTCTTAAATATATATTTTGTAGGGTTTGTAATTTTTTAATGTGTGTGGAAGATGTATTGCACCATACTGGACAAGTGTAAGTAAGAGATGGACTAACAATCATATTGTACATTAATATACCAAATTTTATTCGTAATTTTGAATTTTTATGTATTAAAAATGTATGTTTAGAGATTGTGTGATATGTTTTGTGAACAATATTTGAGATGTGAGATTTCCATGTCAAACGTTTATCAAGGTATAAGCCTAAATATTTAACGGTGATAGTTACCTAAAGAATATTTACATTATTAATAATTAGGAGAGGAGTATTAGTAGGTCTGCAAAGTGTGAATATTTTAGCTTGTGTTTTAGTAGATGTAAAATAATTTTAAAGGATTGTTTCTACTCAAGTATTAATAATTGAATAATTTATTTTCGTGATTTTTAACTGATCATTTGTCTTCATTGTTGTTCGCTCTGGCGTGTTTATTTTTTCTTTTGACATAAACGTATGGGGAAAGTTACTGAAACAAAAATAGTCATTCCAACACATTGCGTACGTATTGCAAATTGCATTATATTAAATAATACTTAGTTGTCATTAACGGTTAAGAAATGAAATGATTTTTTTAAAAAGCCAGAAATATCTTAATTTCTTAAATAATATTATATCGTATGATGTAAGGCGAGAGCTAGTAACCCAATTCCTTCAAACGAGTATGCCAACAGGTTTTTTTTTGTCCCAACACTAAACGGTGCATAGAGACAAGATGACACAAAGTGACAAATTACACAAGCAGTGACAGCAACTTAACTTCAAAGTAAAAGGTTGCCATATTGTTGGTTGTATCGTGAGCATTGTGCGAAGTCCCGTTTTAGTTTTCCACGTCCCAAAACAGCTTTCCACAGGATAACAAAACTCCATGTTTCAATTTCCAATTTGGCGGTAAGCATTCAAATGAACTGACATGGTTTTTTTTAAATTGTGGCATAAAATACTTAACTTGTTCCCGGTGACCGTCTGCACACTGGCGGATCCACGGGGGGCAGAGTTTTCTTTACTTTCCTTCATTTGACACACTTAAATATTTGTGTTCAAATTATGTAATTATTTAAACAATATTGTATAGCATTGTCTTTAGTACATAAATAATATTCAATATAATAAATATGTTTATTTTTGAACAAAACTCTGCGATGCCCCTCTCCCCAGCATGATTGGCTGGATCCGTCCCTGGTTTTGCACGCATTTCCTTATGGCATGTCTCAGATAAAGATAGTACCACAGATACACCACATCCTCAGAAACCCACCACGACACACCCGGAAAAAACACCCCCTGGACCCTGGACATCCTTAAACTTCCCCCTCCTATAACCTAAGCCAGAGGACATTAACGAACCACGAAATACATAACCGACTGACAACGAACAGACAAAATAACTAACACGCTATATACGCCGTCCGCAACAAATACAACTCCGCCGCCTCCTTTAGCGAAACCCTTGCCAATCTCTTCCCCCACCCCCTCCCAGTCCTCCCCCTCCCTCCCCCCGTCATCCAGAACCCTAATAAAATAACCCTTCTCTCCACAGAAAACTAACCCTCAAAAAACAACCTAGACTCCCGGTCCCCGTTCTGTACGGGGGAGAGGAGTCGAAAACCCCACATCAAAAACCCGCCAAAACGCCCTCCATTCGAAGAGACCCCGCAAGGGGTCAGGCGAACATGATCTGTACACCAGGTGAAGCAAGATAAAGATTTCCAACTTTCATTGTTGATCAACAATTTCGGTTCACTTTCTTTGTTGATAGATAATATCGATTCGATATATTAGAAAGTCTGAACAATGTTGGTATTATTGTCTCTGCTATTTCGAAAATATCGGTTGGAATACCCCCCGGACCGCTAGTCTTTCATTTCTCCAAATGTGAACGTATTTCCCTTTGTTCGATTTTGAATACGTCATCTAACGTTGTGCCCTATAGTAATTTGGCGATATTTTTGTTTGTTCACAGAACAATTATAATCATTAACCCATTAACACCTAAATTTATTTTATGCTCTTAGCGCTTTTCATTTGTCGTCGCGTCCGGGCACTAACAGTCATTGTTGGAGATCTCTGATAGCATGTTTTTGCAAATTTTAGTGCTTCCATTATTGTGTTGTTAAATTATTCTACAGCTGTTTTTTTTAGCATTTTTGTGCATAAAAAGTAGCAAAACTGTTAGAATTTAATTGCATACTATGCTGCATAACTTTCTGTACAATTTGAGATTATAACTTTAGCAATGATATTTAATGTATTATTTACTGTTTGGTCTGTGTAATTCTAAATACCTTATTACAAGTATTATACGTCAGCTTTAGGTCAAAGACCCCAATCTCGTTCAAGTTTTTCGTCCAGTTTCCATGAGCATTTCTCTGTGCAAATGCTGAGATGGCCCCTTGTTTTGCTTCTGGACATAAATCTACCTTCATTATCAGTGCACAAATTCTATAATACAATGGGAAATATAGTTATTTAAGTTATCGTTCTCCATGATATCGCGACAGGAAGTGTATTCCTTCACGAAGGACATGATGCCCAAATCTAAAGCTAATTTACCCGTAAAAACAGATTTCATTACACCGGAGATACTATTTTGTTTGCAAAATTGTAAGAGAATACCATTCTCCTTTTTTGCGCAAAACATGCAAATACATAGTTGATATATGTTGAACAAAAATAGGATTACTTCCGTGCATTAAACATTTTTAATAGGAACCATAACATTTTTATAAGGAAAACAATAACTTTTCAAGCGTCATACTCTAAAACAGTTAATCTTACGACAAAATATTATAGGAACTCCTTTGTAGGAAATTTCATCTACTTTAAGTTTGTATAGAACATAATTTTAGGTGGGATGGATAGTTCTGAAGATATATATGCAAAAACCGGCGAAAAAGCACTTTAAACTGCCCCCCGTCCTTGGCTCACCCCCACACCTCAAGATTTTTAGTAGGTTATGCAGTCGGTAGGGCAATCATGCCAAGTTTCAAAACAGGAATTGTTTTCCTTCGATCGCCATTTTCTGGTCTAATTTGACTGGGCTAGTATCCGTCCCCGTCGTCGCCGACACCAAAGGTTCCAGTCTCAAGAGCAATGGGGGTCATACTCGTGTTAAGGCGGCTCTACTCTTTGGGTACTGAGCGAGTAGCGAGCGGCCGTTGGCCGAAACCTCGGTAGTGTGGGTGAATGGGCTGCTGCCCATGTGGGTTCGCCCTATCCACCGCGTGTTGGCCTTTTGGACACACCGGCGGACGCAAACCTTCGCCGAGCGCAGCAGTTGCTCGGGATTGGGCGAATAGCGAATGTGTGCCGCTCTTACGTGAACTGTTTTACACTCAAGTGTCTCAACACGATCAGAGAGTAAAATACCGATTGTCCACAACTGTTTCAAGTACATGTGACCATGATCAAAGTGTTGCAATGTGCAGTTGGATCAAAATTGAATTTTGGAAATAAATTAATAAAAAAGTACAACAAATTGAAATTTTCTCTTTTCAGCCAAAGGTTTTATTCTGAAAGAGGTACGCTACTCACATATGGTATGCCATATTATGAATATAGTAAAGTAGCCTTATAATTTTAAGAAAATTAAAAAATTACGAACTGGGGCCACTATTGTAGCTTTTTCCCTAGCAGATGTAATTTCGCCCCTTTTTTTTTCTTTTCGTTTTATATATATATATATATATATATATATATATATATATATATATATATATATATATATTCTCAACTTTTGTTCTACTCGTTATTTTCTTATCAGTTAAGTACAGAATGCTGTTTGATTTTAAAGAAATAATACGCATGTGTGTTGATAGGCCTTCGCTGTATACGCTCGGCAACATCAGATACCGCGTTGGCGACAAGTCCATAACCATCTACTCCTTCGAGGGCGAGTCCTCAGATGAGGACGCCCGCTCGGACGAGGAGGACGTGGACGCGGACGAGTTCGCCTTGTTTCGGAGCCTGCGGCGCCCTCGCCCGGAGACGCCCCCCACCGCCCCGGAAGCGGCTCAAGACGGCCCAGGGCCAGGCCCAGGCGAGGCGTCGGCTGCAGATGCAGGTACGGGAGGGTCACTTCGGGACACTTTTTGTATAATAAATTGTATGTTTTTTTTATTTTGGCTTAATCATTCATTTTGTAACAAGTTTTAATATGTATGAGAGGGGGGGGGGGCGCAAACAGCTAGCGCCGGCCCTGTGTCTGGTGAAGATGGAAAAGCCGCAATGCCGAGGATCGCTTTCTAGCGAGTTCGATTGCCCTTGCTGCGAAAGTATTAATTGTATGTAATTATATACTTATGTGTATTGCATATTGTAATAGATAATATTTCCCGATTAAAGAGTTATTGATTGTCTTTAGCTATAAAGATTCTTCTAATTTTTAATATTAACATAACTCCAAAACAGTCATGGTTGGTCATATTTTTACCAAGAACGTACTCAAATATTGTTAATTTCTCTTTGGCAGAGATGCAATTAATTAGCATTAAGAGCCTCATTTATGATTTCCATCATACCAAAGTTCAGTTATTGTAATGCAGGCAATTGGAAAACGAAACTTTATTAAGAGTATGCTATAAAATAAATGAAGTTTGACTGAGAAGGGTCGAGAGTAACAGGTGGGAAAGCAAGAGTCGTGGCATTGCTAGAGGTTGTGTCGACGACATCTCCAAGGGAGCTAACGCCAAACGAACGCTGTAACGCATTGAGCAGTGGCTGTCAAAGCGGTCCCTTAGAGTAATCTCTCAACACCAAGTGTCTGCTGGGAACTGTCAACCACAAGCGACAACGCACCACCTGCTTCTGCGTCAATCCGTCGCCGCAACTCTGGAGCATCGGACTCGGCAGGCGATGACGCCACATTAAAAGAAGAGTTCTGGTTTCGTTTGACAAATAATAATAATAATATTATTAATAATAATAATAATAATAATAATAATAATAATAATAATAATAATAATAATAATAATAATACCGTTTCACATGATAAAACAAAAGGTCGGTCTCAGCTTATCCGCTATTGCAGACTGACAGGTTACTAAACAATTAATACGTAGAAAATTACATTTAACGATGCTACAGATGTGTCGTATGACTCAGATTGGTAGGCAACTCATCATGCATTAGTGTTTGACAGGTCACGTTCTGAAACACTCGAAGAGGTGTCGTACAAGTATAATTACCAAACAGCAAAGCATGATGGTTTGCCCAGCAATTAGGGGTATATGTCACGTGTATAACTTCGTACCACACAATTTCTCACACATGGTCCCTGAGAAAAAGTGGACGCCGTCGCCCTGTATGCTCTCGATGTTTGTAGCATTCATTCTGAAATAGTCTGAATACGTCGGGTTACACTAAAACGGCTTAGGTGATTCAGCGCAGCAGTTGATGTTTCTGCAGTGCCTCGGACCGAGAGGTCCTAGCCTTCCAGTCCCGACGGAGGCAGGATTTTCAACCCTACAGTACCGGCAGCGTATAAGCGACTCTGGCAGTTCGATACACTACTACTCTTATGGCACACCTACATCGCAGATAAATTCAATTTGAAAACATTAACAGGCTATGGCACGTCTTGTTATCATGATCATAACTTATCGCCTTCGCGACGAGGCGCGAGTCAGCTGAGCGGCAGCGCTGATCGCTGGCTGTGAGAAACTGAACAAATCTCCGCAAGCTGATTGCTCCAGAGCATGTCACCTGACGCACCATAGCACGTGGCGAGGGAACTGTCGGTGTCGCTTACACGCTGCCGGAACTGCACTTGTCCATAGCTATATCAAGTTCAACCGCTGCCTCGAGGAGACTGCTACCGGCTGGCTATACGAATGCTGGAGCAGTACCCTCCCAAGCGGGCCACGGACCGCGCGCGATCTTTCCTTTCTATGCTTGCCCCTTACACCCAACGGTTCGCCGGAGCCGCCGTGTGCAGCGAAGCGCGCTCGGTTGGGTTGCGCAGGAGCCGGGGGCGAGGGGGCAGAGGCCGCCGAGCCCGCCCCGCCGCCACCGCCGCCGCCGCTGGCCCTGTGGGTGCGGCGGGCGGGCGGCAGCGCGCCGCGCGGCGCCGTGCTCGTGGGCCGCGACCTGGACGGCGGGCCGCTGTACGTGGGGCGTGCCTGCGTCTACGGCGAGCTGCTGCCCGGCAAGGTCGCCCCGCACCACCGCGTCTGCTACGTCGCCAGCGAGGGCCGCGAGCTCGCCTTCGAGAAGTACGAGGTGAGACACGGCCGACCCAGTTCCTTCCTCTTTTCTCCAGAAACTTACTCTAGTTCCGCGTGTAAATTCAGGACCAAAGCGGTCCAGGGAAGGAAAAGGACTGATGGAGTAGGTAAGGGGCCGCCGCCATGCTGCTGGCCAGCTTTGTTCGTGCCTTATTCAAGACGGTTCAGACTCGCCCGTACTATATCGAAATGAAAAGCAAAGAAGCCACTAGAAGCCTGTCCAAATATCATGTTCAGGATTGTAGAATATTATCTGAGAAAAGGAATAGCAATATAAGCAGATTTCATTCAATCAACAAATTATTCAATTAAATGAAAACCAACTTTAACTAAACCTTATTTTCAAAGGAATATACCAGTGCAAAGTCAGGAAAATTGGGAAGGGAGTTGTGTATTAAAAATAATAGCTACGAAAAATGTTCTTCCAAAATAAAGTACCACCTACCACTTTTTTTTACTAAGATTGGGGATGAGGTAGTCGGTTCCCAATGTAGTATGCCATTCTATGGGTTGGTCCCCAATTTACGTATGGGTTAAACTTTTTTCCTTCTGGTTCCCACTCTACATACGACGAGACACGACGAGGACCATGGACGTATCCAGCCAATTATTTGGAAGGGGGACATCTTAGATTGTTATTAAATAATAAACATTTAATTTATTGTATATAATTTTGTAGTATATGTAAATAAATATTTAAACCAATTTTGCCACAAAAAAGGGGGGTGAGGGGCAGGTGGGAAAGGATAGAGCCCCGGCGAGCAGCTCGGAAATTGCCCGTTTGCTCATCTGCTCCGACATCGGGGAGAACATGACTCCAACATCGCGCATCAATTTCTGCCCCTGTCTCTCTCCGTCTCGTGTTGTTCCAGGGAATTATATCAACATGGACAAATTGGTGGTATGGTTATTTATGCACCAAGGGAGTTGCAAGAGGTCTGGTGATCGAGCGGCGACAAAGTGCCCGAGGACCTTGAAGTCGAGCGCATTTGTCGTCCGAGATGATGAGAAGCAATCAGCGTCCGTGGTGCATGCAAAATTATAATTTTAATCATTCAGATTTGATTATTTACTAATTAACTCCGTGTTAACTAAAAGTTTTGTCTTTTCATATTTCCCTTCGTAAGAGTATGTAGCATCATTCAACTGTTCCGTCGTAATCACCATCCAGGTAAGTTGTGCCCTGTATTGTGGGCTCCGTATCGAAGGCAAGAACGTTAAAAAAAACACCGTCGTTATTCTTATGATTTCGCTTTTCTTGCCTACCAAAAAGCTGAATTCATTTCAGCCTGCTAACCTGGAGCAGAGTCTGTAGAGAGAATGTAATACCTTCAACAAGTAGACAATCAACATTTCTATTCCCCTCCGCTCCCGTTCCTCTTTCTCGATCTTCAAAAGAATGTTAGTATGTTATATACTAACACTCAAGCGGAAGTTTTTGCCCGGCATAGCGTATGCGCAAATGCAAAAAAAAATTGGTGTTTTTGCACGGCGAAGCGTTACAACTATTGACGTTCCTTTAGTGTTCTGTGGCAGTACTATTGATCTTCAGCGCATGCACAGTTAATGTTTCGCCTCTCTTTTGTGAATCTGCGCGTGCGCAAAAGTTGAAGATTGCCGTCGACGGGTGTCGTGCGAAGAGTCGCGAGTGATGGGAAACTCAAACTGCGCATGCGGAGAAGATCGAGTGTCGTCGACTGCTGTAACTCTGGCCGAGAAAAAACTCCCGTTAATGCAGGGTGGCCGCTTTGTGGAGAACATGAAAAAACAGAAAATATCAGAGAACTTAATTACTCTCGAAAAGTAAGAAAATACAGGGAAATTGTTTAAGAATCGTTGGAAGTCAAGGAAAATGAAGCTAGGGTTGTAAAACTATACATTATCCCTTAAAACTTTAGTACAGGGTTATTTTTTTCTTCATTTTTATTTGGTGAAAAATGTTTTTTCCTACTTCTCATATTGAAATCATTGACCTGATCAAGTAGTATGAGGGTAGCTTTAATAATTTCTGGAAATTGTACGAAATGACACAAATTTAATCAGGAAAAAAAGTTTAATCGAGTGGCCGTCCTGCAAAGGTTCCGAAATGGTGTGCGCGCGCGTGCGCAGGTGCTGGCGCTGAAGCGCGGGCGCGTGGAGTGGGTGCGCGGGCGCCACGGCAGCTTCCCCATGGACGCCTTCCCCGCCGGCCTCACGCTGCGCAACCAACGCGCCTACGTGGCGCGGGCGCGCGTCAACGACATCCTCACGCCCGGCCGGGTGCGTGGCTCGTGCTGCTAACGCCCCACACACCCACTTCCTCCATATGGAGCAATTCCAAACACCAGCATGCATTTCTTATCTCAAATTTCCTTCTATAATTAGTATTAGTAATCAGAAACGCAAAAGGGCTGACTGAGGCAATACTCGGGAGAAGCTGCGTGTGTGCCCTTTTACGGAATAGGCCTCAATTGTAGTATGGCCAAGTCACTCTTTTTAAATATGTTTGAGGTCTTCAACAATCAACACAAACCTACGGCTAAGTGTTTAAATGTGTTCTCGCCTGACAAATTCCAAGTATAAGTCAATGAGACCATCCATGAACCATGCATGACTTTTGTATGAAGTAGTCTGTCATTCCGACAAAACTTTGTTAGCTTTTAAAAATGTTAACTTTAATAGTTTGTAAAAGTTAACTCTTACTTTATTTTAAAGCGATTGAGGTTGGTGAAGAACCATCAACTTCTGATCAGCTCGTTAAACTGTGATGACAAATGTTGGTGAAACAATCATATATCCATTTAAAATTACTATTCAAATTATTCATCAGCATATTCGTTAACAATTTAAACTATTGTTATAATAACCTATCATTGTTGATGTTTATGTATATGTTACATTATCCTTCATTATCAAAAGTTTAATATTTCTACTATACCTTCTTCTGTGCTTCATTTGATAACTTTAACCACACTACTAACAATTGAAAGGCTCTGTAGAACAAGATGCTATTCCACCTTGGTATCGTTCTATGATAAGGCGGGTTTTACCTAAACATACCTCATATAACAATACATTTTTAAACTTGCATGTAAGTCCATTTTGGAGTTAAATAACATATTACACTGATATAATAATAGTTCGAGTTTTGTGTACTGCCAATACTTCAATTTCACAGAACAAATGGCATAGCCCCTTGTTCCACTGAGCCTTTCAATTTCTACCATTAACTACTGGCAAATTTGTGTCATAATAAATGGTTCATTATTAAAAAAATCTTTTACAAATATTATATGATAAAAAAATACTATTTTATGAAACTGATCACACTCACTATTATTCAAGTTTTAAACATTTTTTTTGTTTTGATAATGTTAATGACAGATTAAACAAAAATATCTTTATTTACAATTATAAAATTTTTCATTTGTTGAGTGCTCAGGAGCTCTGCAAATCCTTATATCTATCTGGTGCACTCAAAAAAATCAAAAGAGAAATTGCAACCAAATTTTGTGTACTTGCTCATGTGCCACAACAGCTTTTCTTAACTCAATACAAATTGCAGACTCATTAATGTCATCATCAGTTAACTGTTTTACTTTTTTAGAAAAACATTATCTCTGCACACATACACTTCTTTGTATCACATAACGGCCAAATCAGAAATGTTCATTGTCTTCTTTCCGTTTTGCAGTTGGTTGTTGGCGAGAAAGAGTGCCGGATTTCCTATAATATGAAGGAGTTCAAGTTTCCTGAATATGAAGTTCTAACAGTGAGGCATATGGATCCAGATGAAAATGGCATGGTGCGCTATGTAAGTGCAGAGAACCTTGCTCTTTCTGAGCATCATCAGAAAAGATTCAGAGGAGCATATTGGTGTGGCACCAACATGGCTGGTGAAATGGATGAATATCCAGAGCAGTATGATGATGAAGAAGAGGAAGAAGAAGAAGAAGATGATGATGATGATGATGATGATGATGATGATGATGATCTAGATGGTGAAGATGTGGGTGGTGAAGTGTTGGAATTATTTCCTGATGATCAGGTAATTTTTATTGAATAGTTCCAGTAATGGTACAAAAGACTGAGAATGTTTTATGACAAACATTTAGATCTGTTCATTTTGGGCTAAAAACATTGCAAAGATTGAGATCTTTTACAGGAGTAAGAAAGCTTTTTTAGATGGGTGAAACTCTTGTACTCGGATCAAATTTCCATGATCTACAAGAAGCTTCTTGGCATCTGTTTGAAAATTATAATGCAAGTGATAAACATGATTGTTATCAAAAAACTGTGATCAACCCTTTAAGGCTGTGGAAGGATGATGATTATTTGAAGAGAAAAGATGTGGATGAAGTAGGTGGTATGTGACCCCTAATCATGATATGTTTTGTGAAACAGGTTTCCGTGGCAATAATTAATGATAAACTAATGAGAGCGATCAAGTTATCATGTTTTACAAATGTGAATAACTGAATTCATCAAAGTATCCCAAAATAATTGACAGTGTTCAAATTATTGATTGAGAAATAATGTGCCATTAACAATTATAACTTTATTTGATAAAAATCTATTCAAAATTTCTTGCAAGTAATGTAGTTGAGATTGTTATGAAAATTAGTGAATTTTGCACTGTGGCAATTGTGCACTTCATAAGGGCCTCAAATTTTTCTAATATCTCTTTACACTTTAATTATTTTACTTATTAAGTGTAAAGTTGTAGTGTTGAGTTCAATTACATGAATCAACAAGAATTTGTCGTCAAAGTAAATTTAAAAAAACATTATGACTATGATGAATCGCTTGAAGAATGCATATAACAGTAAGTTATGGCCCATCATAGCAATTTGGGAAGAACATATCATTTATTAGAATACTAAATTTCATAAGTAGGCCTTATTGACTGAGATGTGAAAAAGTGTTAAACAACCAATGTTATATTGGTGTTTCTGTGTATGCAAAAATGTCTCTTCTTTTGTTAATTAGAACATAATATATTACTTTTGTATTGTTTGCATGCTGACTTGTAATAAAATGTTGCAAAAATTCTTTTGTCTATGTTATTTTCAAATGTTTTTTATTACTTATTTATGTTATTACCTTCTGAACAAATAGTGTAGAGTAAACAGTAGTGTAAACATTCCGTTCTAAGAGGTAAATATGCAATTCTCTGTATACTTTTGATTACTGATAAAACATTTTTAAACTCTCCAGAGAGTAATGCATTTTATTACATTAAAAAATTTTATAATTCAGAAAATAATGCAAATTAGTACATTTATTAATGAAACAAAAGTGTAACTTTTCTTATTTCATGAGCAATTTTATCACAGCCTATATGTGTAGTTGAGGAATTCTTCATATTTTAAATTTTTTATTGTTGGGACTCAAGGGAAAAGGAACCTACTAGATAAGCCCATTTTATAAATTATGCAAATAGAATAGAAAAAACGAGTATTTATTAAACTTCAGAACGTAAAATCTTAAAAACACGGACAGAATACATTTATTGATTTAAATATTTTATTTATTGTTAAAATATAGTAAAAACTATTGAGACTTGGGGAGAAGAACAAAATGTTACACAGTTAAATGATAAATAAAGGCACCAATAAAGCATGGTTAACAATTTTAAAAACTAAAATTACTTGCTCTGAGTTAATTGCATCAAGATATTAACTACAGATAAGAATTTATATTAGTACATGATTTTATAGTATTAAGAACAAAAACTCCAAAAAACCTTTTCCCTTGTGTCACAATTTGCAAACAGAGAGCTCAACAAAATATCTGCATAATGAAACAGATTCATATTTGTTTGATTTTAAAAATGGTAGGCAACCTTTTCTTTCACTTTTAAATCCATTTTTCCCTATTACACATCTATGGGAGATGCCTACCAGCTGTACCATTTAACTTCCTAAAATTATCAAAATAAAACATACCTCTGGCTTTTTATGTACTAAGCTAAGTTTCGTTCACACTCCAAATATAAAGCAAAATCTAATCTTTCAACTCTGAAGAAAACATTTCATACATTAAATAATAATCTGAGGGGGATTTTAATAAAAAGTAGTTGTTTTCCTTTTCACTTTAGAACAATGCCGTTTATTAGAGAAATTAATTTTATGTTATGGCAAAAGGAAATTACCTATTTTTGTCATTTTTTACCTTTCTCGAAATTTGTAATGCATTTTTCACTGATTTGATAAATGTTTATATCAGTTAAATGGACCTTGCATCAAGTAAAAATTACGAGATGCAACAAATATTCTCCACAGAATTTCTAAGAGGCCTATTCTATTTCTGCCCTCAGGAATTGTAGACAGCCGCTGTAAGTAATCTAAGGTTCCTGTGACGCCTATCAGCGCCATTGTTTGTTCAGCATATTTCGGACAGACAGATTTCCTGCTAAAGAACGGTCCAAACCGAAAGTTTGAAAGCAGAGTTCACTTGAAGGAATTAAAAAACCGATTACATCAGCGACATATCCAACAACTTGAGTTGTTCATCCAAACTGTTTTTGTTCACATTTTTTGCGTCATTTTTCTTTGCTTTGAGGGCATTTTTAAAATAGTAGTTTAGGAACATTTTATTGTTCTTTTTTTGACGGTTTTAGGTAATCAAAATCTGCCCGTCTCATCATTACACATGTAATCAACCATATATTGTTCTTAAAATGAGAGTAGGAGGCTGCTTTTGGAAAATAACGAAGTCAGGAATTCCGTGGATGACACCTGGGGGATAAAGCATCGGGAGAACTTTATAATTACAAGAAACAAACTCAGAAGTCCGGTAAAAAGCTCAGGCTTATGAGACTTCTGCTGCACCAAATAACATGCATCAATCTCACTCCCAATATCACGCGTCAATTTTATTATGTCTCGCTCTCTCATTTGTGTGTGTGTGGGTATGTTTATCGCTGCTTCTCTAGTTTCCTAAGTAACGTGTAATTGTTATTCGCCCAACATTAATGAAACATTTCAGCTTCTCATTGCTAGCCGTTTGGGAAAAAAAAGAGAGTAGAGAAAAAAGGGCTAGTTCTTCTTGGAAAAATGTGCTTTCTTGCCAGTGAGGGCCGCGAGCAGGTTTTCGAGAAGGACGAGTTACGTACTGTGAGGCGCGAGTTTACATAAACTTAATTACAATGAAGATTGTTTCAGCTCGCATTTTTATTCCACTATTATTTCTTGTTTAGTTGGAGAAGTCCAGATTTGTTTTCTTTACGAATAGAGTTTCTAGATTCTAAGTTTGAAATTCTATTTGAAAACTGGCACATTTCTTCATTTGGCGTAACGAATTTTAGAGTGAAAAATACACAATATATACATATAAAACACACACATTATATATAGGTGTCCCATTTAAGTGTCCCATTGACAACTTGAAATAACTCAAAAAATACGCGATGTAAAAATTGAGCCGAGACCAAATCTTAACAGTTTTGAAGGGGGAATCATTCTATGCTAAAATAGCATTCCCTCTGCCCCCAGCGGGTGGGGCGTTGGGCAACATTGAAATCTTAAATAGGAACCCCCATTTTTTATTTCAGATTCGGATTCTACAGACAGAAATACATAGGTTTTTTCTGAAACATTTTCTGATTTGTAATAGGTGGCGTTGTAATCGCAAAAAAATAATTTCCGAAGATTTCCGTCTGTAATTGAAGTGGTTTTGAGCGTGGTCGATTATTTCTGAGTGGTTAATAAAAATCAGTATTTTCTACGGAAGTCAATAAACTACTTTTAGCGTAACCCAAGAACAACGACGTGCACGTAGTAGTTTTCTGTTCCCTTCGGGATGCTTGTTTTAGTGAGTTCCCTTGCCTCTCACTATCGGAGTGCTGGTTTTAGTTGATTCTACAAATACATCAGCATTTATTTAAAGTAAGTGCTCAAAATTATGGCGCTGAACCTCAATGAATTATTGATTCTTCCTACAAATGAACGAAAACATCGCATAAGCATATTCGGTGCAATCGCGGCACAAGCGTCCCTCATTCGTTGCATCATGTTTTCACGAGTAGTAGGTGTTTCTTTATAAACGACATCTTTTAGGTAACCCCACAAAAAGAAATCTGATGAAGTAAGATCTGGTGATCTGGCTGGCCAGTTCACTGGTCCTTCTCTCCCGATTCGATTATTGTAATCCCGATCCAATACCTCGCGTGCTACTATTGAGAAATGTGCTGCGCAACCATCATGATGAAACCACATGTTTTGTCGCATTTCCAAACTTACGTCTTCAAGCATTCTCGGTAGTTCTTTATAAAGAAGGTTTCGGTACTTGTTACCATTTAGATTACCGTCAATAAAGTATGGTCCGATAAGTTTATCGACAATTATTTCACATCAAACGTTAACCGACCAAGGTCGCTGAGGATTTACTTGACGAATCCAGTGTGGGCTTTCTACATCCCAAAAATGTATGTTATGGCGGTCAACTTCACCGTGGCGCGCGCGAGAGAGAGAGGCAGATACACAAACACGCAGAAAGAAAGAGAGAGAGAGAGAGAGAGAAGAGAGAGGGGGGAAACTGTGATAGAGACACGCAGGGGGAGAGCGACAGCGACAGTGAGACAAACAGAGACATAGGCAAGAACAGACAGTGAGAGATGGTGGCAGAGAGAGGGAAGGGAGGGGAAGACAGAGCAGGACAACGTCTGCCAGGCTCCGCTAGGACATCTTTTAGGTCGTCCGAACGATCTCGCTATACTCCAGGTCATACGAGGGAGCCAAAACACAATTTTCTCAAAAATGACTCCAAATTTGTTGTTAAGCTGCTTCCTCGGCTAGACCAAAGGATGCTTAAAAATGGCGCAGATCTCATTTTCGTTGAAATATCTGAATTTCCGAAAATTGCAAACGTTCAAAATTTTTCGTCTTCTTCTACGACTAAATTTTTTTCTGAATTAAACCTATTCTTAGATTTTTAAATGAGATCAGATACAAGTTTTTGAAAATATGAGTAATTTTCGCGTAATTTTGCGAGGAATTCATGCAATAAAAAGATCTCGACATCCAGCGGGGGTTGATCACCGCCAACACCTGCGATAAAAAACTTGCACTACACATACGGAACTGTCTTCACAGTTAACTCGCCGTGAACCACTAATCAACCAATCAATCAATTTTGACCCCCACGACTTGAGCACGTGGGCAGCCCGTTGCGCTGTACATGTGGATATGTACACAACCGCCCTCACACAACACTTCTCGGCAACTGCTAAGCGCCACGTGACCTCTTCGTGATCTTGGCCTTCGCTCCGACTGAGCTGCTTCTCTCGGGCCTTCTGTTCGCCAAGTCTTACGGGACGACTGTACCACTCTCCAGAACAATCGCTTAACTACGCCTTTTCACCACTTTCCTAC